AGCGTGGAGAGTGAGGGAGGCAGGTGGGAGCTAGTACATGCTAGTACTCCCCGTATATATTGGCTCCTGTGGAGCCAGCTGCCCTCCCCTGCTGCCTTCCACAGAGGTGATGGGAGGGGGGGGGGCACGTGGGAGCCGGTTCTTGGGAAGCCCGCTTAAAAGAGGCTTGGGGGAGCCTCCCCACACAGAGGCTGCTGCTATCCTGTACATAGGGGACTCCCTGGGAGCAGGGCCAGGAGTGCACTGGCTGCTGGTCCTGGCCCCAGGGACCACCAAATAATCATATAACTGCTCAGAGTTGGTGCAGTTACACGATTATTAAATGAAACGACATCTAACATTCCTAACTTTAACTATCAACATACTAGCTTAAATAAAAAAAAAAAATTACAGCCACAGCTGCATGAATCAAGTCAATAATACATTATATAAATCACTGTGCAATGACAACAGGATTAGATTCCACAGCAATACATAATATGACTATTACATTCATTTAATTAACATGTACGACTTGATATGCACTGCTGTGCTACATTTTGGAAATATATTGCACAGGTATTTCCTTCTTTGGACTGCCATTTTCTAACTCTTGTTCTACGATGACATTGGTTGGGATTCAGTCACTTCATCTTAATCACAACAGTTTAGTAAATATGCCTCGAGGTTTCAGAATCCCTTTCAATGGGATGTTTTTACTGCTAGAGAATCAAATTTATCCCCTACCTTAAATATATAATTTAATTAAACGGTAGTCTACTCTTGAGATTTACTACTTAGGCTCTACACTTGCAGCACTGACGTGCTGCCATGGACTACAGTACAGGCAGTCCCCGGGTTACGTACAAGATAGGGACTGTAGGTTTGTTCTTAAGTTGAATTTGTATGTAAGTCGGAACTGGTACATATTATAGGGGAAACTCTAGCCAAACATTTCTCCAGAGCTCAGTTTTATTCTCCCACACCTCACTTCCCTCAGTCCTTTATTCTCAAGCTGAGGTGTCTGCTGAGAAAAGCCGCTCCACCTCTCCCTGGTCTGCTGGGGTGGGGGGGCGCTAGCTTCGCATCTCCCTGGTCTGCTGGAGGGAAGCAGCTAGTGCAGGGTTGCCTCACCCTGTTTGTAAGTAGGGATCTGATGTAAATCGGATCCATGTAACCCGGGGACTGCCTGTACTTAAAAATGATGGTGTGGTTGCAACACCAGCACTAGGAGAGAGCTATCCTAGTACTTTAGTAAAACCACTTTTATGAGCAGTGTAGCTCCCAGTGCTGGGAGACCATTTACACTGGCAAGTTACTGCACTGAAACTTGCTGCATTCAGAGGGGTCATTTTTCACACACTTGAGCAAGAAAGTTTCAGTGCAATAACTTGATAGTGTAGACAATCCCTTAATTTTACTTCAAACTCAGGATAGTGGAAATGAATGTATTTGCTCAACAATCCTGTTTTTTAAACAAACACAGACAGAGATAAAAATCTATTTATTTATTTGAGATTGGTTACTCTATTTACAACTTTTGGCTGATGTACATTAAACATGTTAATGGAAGCATTTTCTAAACTTGGGGTAAGAATACAAGAACTGAATTCCTTGGTGTATTTACTGTCTTGTTAAAAAACAAAAAAAAACAAACAAAAAAACCACACAAAGATGGGAGTAGATGAGTTGCCTTTCAGTATGGATTTGAATTTGAAGGATTTACCCTTCTGCGATTATTTGTAAAACTCAGTCCAAAGCAAACCATTTCCATATTTGAAAAAATTAGGAAAAACACCCTCTCAAATGCTGAAAAGCAGGAAAACACAAAACACAGTGGGATAGAGAAGTTCTCTAGGAACTTTAAAACTATTGTTTTATGAAGAGCATATAATGTAGATGCAGGGCTGGAAGCAAATGCTGAAGAACTTTTATGATTCAGGCAACTATGGTACAGTCTTCCAGACTGACTAGATCTCATTTTCAGCTTAAAGTAAATAAGGTGAAAAAAAGAGGACTGCTGAAACTGACATTGTAAAAATTAAAAGATCGGGATTTCTGTCACTGACCTCAAGAGAAAACTTGGAGATATGGCCGTAGACTAGGGATGTTAAATATTGATTAACCTCATGAATTCTTATCGGTTACTCAACTATTCATTATTCCCCAGGGGTGAGGCCTGCAGCCAGTGCACTCCACCCCCACTCCCAAGGAGCTCTCTGCCCCTTGGCCCTGCAGCTTCTGTATCAGAGGCAACAGCGTAGGGTGCCAGGCGGGAGCTGGTCCAGGAAGGGAGCCAGTTTAAAAACCAGCTGATACAGAGGCATCAGCAGCCCCTGTCCATTGGGGATCTGTGCTCCCAAACCCAGCATGAGCCGAAACTGAGCCGGGCTGCCTGCCCACCTGGTTCCTAATACACTTGAAATTCAGAGCCACAGTAGGGATTGGTCCCAGACCAGGTAAAAGCTGGGACTAAGCTGGGCTGCTGGCCAGCCTGCTAAAAAATGTACTGGTGGAAGGCGGGGAATGCATGTAGTCTATAGCTTTTGCTTATCAGTTAATCGGTTAGTTGACTATACTATTACATCTCTACCATAGAGTAGGGACGTTAATGGTATATCGGTTAACTGATGGTCTGGCTGTGCTGACTAGCTGCTAACATCCTTAGTTAGAAATGTCACTTTGTAGCATTAGTTAATGTTCATGTGAAAAAATTTAATTACAAAACATCATCCAACATCATTTCAAGAGAAAAATAAAACAACTAGGGATGTTAGATGTTGTTTAATTTAATAATCATGTAACCACACCAAATCTTAGCAGTTACATGATTATTCTATGGTCCTCCGAGCCCCCCCCCCAAGGTAGTCCCCTACCACACTGTGCTGCTGCCTCTTGGGGTAGCACAAAGGGGTGGGGGGGAGGCATCCCTGCAAAGCCGGCTCCTTCCCTGAGCACTAGCTCCCAACTGCACTCCCCACTACTTTTGTGGGTGGCAGCCGGGTGGGGGAGGGGGCGACGGCTCTGTGGAGCCGGTACACACGGAGAACCAGCTTAAAAGCTGGCTCCCCACACATACAAAGTGCCCCCTCACCCTCTGTGCTGCTGCTTCGCTAATCAGAGGTAACAGCATGGGTTGGAGGGGGGGGGACAGTTTCGAAAGATCCGGTACTCATGGGAAGCTGACTCAAAAGCCAGCTCTCCACAGGCACTGGCTCTCACCTCCCCCGGCCTTAGTGCCTCTGATAAAGGGGCAGCATGGGAATGGGGGTAGTCGTTTGGATTAACCAGTAAACCCAGGCTTATCAGTTAATCGCTTAAATGACTAAATGCTAACATCCCTAAAAATGACTTTAAAGTGGAGATGAAGTAGAGCACATACATCAGTAACTTAAGGGTAAATAGCACAAGGATATTGTATTTATTTACAAAACAAGCACTAATTCTGAATTTCATGAGTATTCAAACTCAAAAGAAATCCAAACATATTAAAGTATGGAAATATGAAAATAAGGCATGCAAGTATCCTTAACTGTGCTCTGCAGTGATATGGTGGGGAAAAATATGAATGTCCGCTTCTGCAACAATCGTAAGGTGTCTTTAAAAATCAATTCCAGTTAATCTAGAACCACAACACTGAACAGCACTAATTCCCCCGCTGATCCCAGGCTCCATGCTGTGCTGCCGCTTTGAAATGCCAAGTAGAGCGAGCCTGGGGTCAACCTTGGACTCTGTGCAGCATTTTCCCCAAATCCGGGGTCAGCTGGGAACTCCCCAGGTAATCTCGAGCTCCAGTGCGGCATTTCAAAGTGGCAGCGTCACATGGAGCCCAGCAACAGCTGGGGACTCCCCAGCTGACTCCTGGTTCTGCAGAAATGCCACAGGGAGCCCAGGGTCAGTTAGGGAGTCCAGATTTTCTCTGGAGTCTGGATCTTGACTATATTTTGACAAAGAAATTTGGACCTTGACAAATAATAGTTGATTACCTCTGCATTAAACATTTTATTTGGACAGTATTCACCTGCATTCCCTTTGTTATTTTTTTCTAAGATGGTGTGGGGTTTTTTTGTGTGTTTTTTTTTTTTAAAGACTAAGGATTCTTTCACACACAACCCATCTCTCCTTCTGTTGGATAACATTCAAGTAATAATTGGCTTTGACATGTTAATCTATAGTCATAAAAATTACTGATAATATAAATTCAATATTACAACTCCATTGCAAGATCAGAAAGGATATGACAACAGACTATGAAGGAGGAAGTTTTTAACTACAAATATAGTCAGCAACATTTTTAAATTGCACAGAGAGAATAATAAGTATTGCTTTTGCTTGCTAGATCTGTGATAAAGTTTTCCAAACCTCCAAAATGAACATTTCTGTAAATCAAGGAAGAAATCTTTGCATGCAAATTCTGTAACAAAAATCTAAGAGAAAAACAGCTTTAACATCCTATCCCAAATACTTTTGAAATTTTCTAGTGTCAAAATACTTAAAGGAAACATGATGAAAAGTAGGAATTACAAAAAGTTTCAGTTTCATTAGGAGAGCTGAAAAACTCCAGTAGAAGTGTTCAATCTTCTCCGATGTCATTAAATTTAATAGATGTAATTTGGGGGAAGAGAGGGAAAATAGGTGGCTGAGCGAGGACATTCAGCCTATGTCTACCCAGCAGCTTTATTTCAGAATAACTGACATTATTCCGAAAAAGAATGTGTCTACACTCCAAACCATTATTTGGAAATAATGGCAAGCTAGAGGACTTCTTCCTTCGACTCCTGTAACCCTCATTTTACAAGTAACGGAAGTCCAAGGAAGAGTGGTCTTCCTTCAACTTTCCACTGTATAGACAGTGCCAAAAGCCTAATTAAGCTATTTCGATTTGAGCTAATCAGTTGTGTAGCTTAAGTTGCATAGCTTAATTCGACATTAGCCCTGCTGTGTACCCTCAGAGCATATTTAATACTAGGTGGGATATATAAACCTGAAGACCACCACTCAAAATAACTTTTGTGGAACTCTTTTGGCCATCCAAGAGCTCCGGTACCTGTACTAGAGATGAAAAGAAAAGAGAAAACAATTCACATGAACAGTTGGCAGAACTGGTAGCGTAGAGCCAAATTTCTTCTACAAGCTAGAAGTGTGCAGTCTTTTCCATGATTTCCCACCAGCGGGCTTTGATCTTAGCCCACAAAACCCACAATCAAGAGAGAGAAGAAAAGCATCTTAATTTCCTTTAATTCTAAGCCTTTTAAAATGAGAACAATGAAACTGTTGAAAACTAATGCATAATTACAGTTATAATTTTAATGTAGTATATGATCAGGACTATTTCACATATATCATTGGATGGTGGTAACATCTCAACCTCTAACATCTCTTTCAATGAGCACCAAAGCCCTTATGTAAACTTTAATTTCTCAGCAGAGAGGAAATCAATCTGTCTTTCCACATCAATATTTTCCATGACATTAGCAACACAGTAAAACAGTATTAATGAAAAGTTACCACGGTACTGTTAATATTACCCCCCAGCATCTTGGAGAACTCAGCATCAGATGACAATAGGATACAGGTCTTTAACTTCTATGCTACTGTCTCAAATCCAGCTCAGTTCAGTAGTGAATGCATATGAAGAAGCTTCTTACGGCCTATTCTATCTTTTACATTTTTTTAAAAAGTGCCTAAGAGCGTCCACTACCACTGAGCACTTTTTTTTAAAACGAGCTCTTAATAGAGCTCATAAAACAACTGAGTCTGTTAAGTTACTAGAAATTAAGTACACTTATTTTAGAATCATCACCAGACCCCTCACTTATACCTGTTCAAAAAAACCAAAACAACCCTCAACAACAATACAGTCACCCTTATTACATGCCAAAAGCTAATGATGCTGGGCGTGCTTGTGCTGGTCAGACTGGCTGGCTGCTCTCATTTACTAAGACTTTTGAGAGCACTACAGATCGCTGGAGCTTGATAAAAGGAAGAGGCTAACACCGTGACTAACAAACGCATAAATAACTACAGAACTACAGGTTACGTTCTTGAACTATTTTTCCCCCAACGTCCCACTTCCTGACAGCTCATCGTTGGATTTAATACTCTGCATACCGCTGTTAGTCACGGCCCAGGTCAGTTTTGTTTACTTATCGCCCCAACGGGCGATTTGCCTGTGAAGATTTCTAGCCAAGCGCGCAGAAGTGTTTACAAAATGCAAGAGGCGACGCAGGGGGCACGCCACAGGTGCCCCCACTGTTGGCTACGAAGGAGCGCTGGGAGGAGGGAGAAGCCACACGCCCCCGACTTGTTGGGTTGGGAAGTTCAAAGCCAGAGTCGTAGGCGAGCTCCTTGCAGCGGAGCGGCCGGGACTCCAGCGGAACCAGCCGCCTGGCCCTTCCCAACCAGCTTGCAGACAGCAGGCACTCCGCTCGCCTCACAACCGCCCCGGGCACCG